TCCTCCTCCCCCTCCTCCTCCTCCTCCTCCTCCTCCTCCTCATGCTCCTCCTCCTCCTCGTTCGAGAGGGCCGCCGAGACCTCCGGGCCGGCCCTCCCTAGCCGAACTCCGAGCAGAACTCCGAGCCCAAGGGGCGAGTGGCTCCCACGGCAGTCCGCGCGAGCGCTTCGAGCGCGCGCTTGGCTTCCGGCCGAAGGCCACTGCGCGTGAATGCCTTCCTCTCTTTCTCCCTCTGACTGAGCCTCTATATCTCTCCTTCCAACCAAGCCTCTCCTCCTTCTAACCAAGCCTCTCTTCATTCCACAAACAAACATCGAGGCTAAACCCAACCATGCCGTACATATAACCGACGACGCCGCACTTGGACGGGTCCTTCAGCCCCAGATCACCCGCTGTTTTGTATCTCGATCTGCGGAACTGCGGCCCCTCCCACGGAGGGGGGCTCTCTCCAAGCGCTTGCTCTGCTTGGTCAGGCGAGTCACCTGCCAGCGGCGGGAGGAGGAAGCAGAAACCACCGAGCGGAACTTGTTGCCGATCTGAACGCAAAAAGCATCTATACTCTATACACCACCAACCTTCCTGGCCAGGGCCATCCTGGGCCCTGGCATGGTGTATACGCGTCCTGGCCGAGGCCAGAAGGATCTATACACCATTGTGGAGCCAAGGGTGGCCATGGCTGGGCGCGGTGGTGGCGGTTTGTGTATATGGCATCTGCGGAGATCTGAACCACGGCATGGGGTCACCCCAGAGTCGCCCTGTCGGCGCCATCGCCAGGAGGATGGCGACGCCGACTCGATTCGTGCAGCATCCAGGCTGATCTTCTGAGCAACCAAGCTGCGGGTCCACATTGGGGGTGGTATCTAAACACATGAAGCTCAATTTTGCCAAGGGATCCAGCGAGGCAGCTGAGCATGGAGAAACGATGGGCGGAAAGCGAACGCAACGACCAAACCGAACCGATTGGGACGACACCCGACGGCGCGAATATACAGCGGGGGGGGACGCCAGCTGTCGGAAACTGGGCGCAGGCTGGCAAATCCGTGGCTGCTGAAACGGTCTTCCCCTTGAAGAAACTCCCGGCATCAAACTCAACGCACTAACTAAGACACGCGGGCTGCTTCCCGGAAGACAAACAAACAAATTTCCCGGCGCTCCGCTCTGGCCGCCACGGGCGTGCCGGCCTTCGCCTGCATGCGGAAACTGCTCACCCCACCGATCCCGGCGAGGCCCCTCCTGGGCCCATGATTGGTGCATCGCCTCCCCGGCCAAGCCAGATGGGCTGGCCATCGCTCGGACGTCCATTCCCTGTGTTTTTTTTCGGTTTCGTGCGTGGTTTTTTCGCCAAATGATCGAGGATGCTCCTCGATGGTCCTCGCCGAGAAAAAAATACACACGTCCGAGCGATGCCAGGTGGGCGTATGCACCACTCACGATCCCCCAAAAATGGACCTGGCCAGGATCGGCGGGGGGGTCAATCGACGCCCCGCGAACAGCCGTGGGCACTGCACTATCAGCACCTGCGGCTCGCGCGGCTGCAGAGCGTGGCTCACGATCGCCCGCGCCCCTGGGACAACGCACCGGCCCAGGCCTGAGCCCCGCCCCCCCCCCACCCCCCCCATTCGGGGATCTACTGACCGTTGTCGGCTACACGCAAGAGTGACCCTGGGTAAGAGTGACCTTTGGTGCGCGGCTTTGGGGGGGCCGCGGGGAGGTCAAATCCAGGCGCGCTAGCCGCTGCTACTGCTTCGCGTTCAGCCATCTGGGGGCCCATCTGTGCCCGCGCCAAAGGTCACTCCGGTGAAGGGTCACTCTTACGTCTAGTCGATGACCATTGAGCAGGGACCGACTGTCCGGGCATTCCTATAGTCCTACCACGAAATGTTCTTAGAGCTCAGACATGTTCTGAGACATGCTCCAAGAACAGTCGTGCAGACCACAAAAGGTTCTTAGAACAATGTTTGTCGGGCGTTGGCAGAATTGGGTTTAGTGGGACCTGGTTAGTGATCTGTACTGGGCACGCCCCCCACGTCCCATTCCACTAACCGGAATTGACGTCACCCGAAAAAAACACCAGCTACGGCAGACCTGGTTTAGTGATTCCAATCCATATTTAAGGCTTCGGAGCCCAATCACTAACCGTTCCCCTTAACCGGGGTCCTGGCAATACCCGAGTTTGGTAGGGCTATAGGCGAGCCAGGTCGGGCTTTGCAGGATCCTGCAAGATCCTGCGCCCTAGCCCGGGTCAATGCACCCCTGGCTCTGCAGGATCCAACAAAATCCGGCGCTCTGACTGACCCCCTTGTAATTCGGGATCCGCCAAGGGGGGAGACCCTGAAGGCGGGCATGAGCTCGATGCGTTGGTGCACCGACCCCTGCCGCAAACAGATGCCCCCCGCATGACCCACCTAATCATCGGCAGCTACCGGGAGCTGCCGGCGGCTGGGCGGCATCTGTTTTGGGCGCTTCGGTGCAAAACCGATCGAACTCCCCCCCCCCCCCGGGCCCCCCCTTGTGGGCTCCAGAAACGGCAAGGCCGTTTTTCACCGTTTCCGAAAAAAAGTCCCTTGAACATGGAAACGGCAAAAAAAAACGGCGACCGGAAACGGCACCAAAAACGGCTCCAGGACTGGAGCCGGAGCGGGAACCTGCAAAAGAACGGCGAAACGGAACCGGCAAAAGAACGGCGTCGGAACCGGCAACAAAAACGGCAAATCGGAACCGTAAAACGGGATCCCGACGTTTGCATTGACCCCCGTCTCAAGGCTCTCGACCCATGCCCCCGGCTGCCAGCGGCTGGGGTGCATCTGTTTTGGGCGCTTCAATGCAAAAACCGACCGACCCCCCCCCCCCCCGGGCCCCTCCCTTTGCGGGGTCCCGACGTTTGCATGGACCCCCGCCTCGAGGCTCTCGGCCCATGCCCCCGGCTGCTCCGTCGGCCCACGCCACGGCGCCGCGGGCCCGCCCCCCCCACCGGCCCCCAGGAAACATGTTTTGTTCGAGCTCCGCGCCTGGCCTGAGGTCGGGCATGCCCCCCTAGAAGTAGGTTTTGGACGAACAATGAAAAATGCAGAAAGAAATTACGCAAACATAATGAAAAATGGAACGTACAGAAAGAAATACGCAAACATATAGCCAAACAAACGAATCAACAATCGTATCCAGGCTATTTCTGACTCCTCTTGAACGTGCCTCCTGTAGAGGCACGCCCGACTTCAGCCGGGGCGCCTCCAAAAAGCCAGCCCAGGAGTCAGGCCGGCCATCGGTCTGTTGCCGCGAGGGAGGAGCGGCGGCCTGGATGGCGCCCAGACCCGAGGGGGATCGGGCGCCGAAAGGAATTGAAAGGGGCAGTCTTAGACGAGCGCGTTCCACTACTCGCACAGTAACTACTCGCACATGGCCTGGATCCGCCGCGAGGGATCGATCTACGATACATTACATCAAAGCAGATATGTGCCTTCCGGACGTTTGCGAGTAGGCACTCTGCAAGTAGTGGAACGCGCTCGGGGCAGTCTGACAGAAGAGTGAGGCCCAACCAAATCAGGAGGCCACTGCCCCACTGGGGGGCTGCCCACGCCGGATCAGGCCGCCGATGACACGGCCCCCCAAAGGCATCACAACTTCCAACAGGCCCCCGGTGAGGCCTCACACGACACCCCCACGAGCATCCCAAGAGGCCTATGACCCACGACCCAGGCACGGAGGCGGGACGGGCCGACTAGATAGAAGGAGGGGCGTGTGCCTGATTCGCCAGGAGCGGTGTCAGGAGGCACTCTTGCTCCCTCCATGGGGGTCGATTTCGTGATGACGTCCCCGGCGAAAACGCCAGCTTGGGAATCTTCTGGCGGAGCCGCCAGATTCGCTGGAAACGGTGCAGGAGGCGCCGTTGTTGGCCTCGCTTCCTTGCGCGCTGGGGGACTGGATGGTGTGGGCTCTACAGAAACTCCTTCAACTCATTCTCTCGGCGGCGAGCCCGGGTGGGGAAACGAAAAGGAGAAGGCCTTCTCAGAAGGCTCGGAAGCCCCCCGGCCTCCTGTCAAGTTTTCTTAGCGGGCCCAGGAGACACAAAACACCTCTCAGAGGGCGCGAGGGCCCTTGAGAAGTCGGGGCACCTTCTGAGAGGGCCTTCTCTTTCTCACTCCCCCCCTCGCTCGCCGCCGATTCTTGCCACTCTGAGGGGGGGAGGAGGAGGAGGAGGAGTGAATGAATGAAAGACGACTCTGGGCCCGCATCTCTCCCTGTCCCTGCTATGCCGAGGCGGACTGAACAGCGTTCGGCAAGCTCATGTATATAATGCGTGTGAAAAACTCGTGGGTTTGCAAGTTAAACACACAGGCGTGTAATATGTACGAGAGTGCACCCGTCGGACGACTAAAAAAGTCATGAGGTTCAGAAGGGGCCCAGCGGGCCCCGACAGGCCTGTAGGCTGGGCCCCAGGGTCTCGCGCACCGACGCGTAGGGCACGAACAGACCCCAGGGATCAAGGACAACTAAGGAATTAGCCAGAAAGAGTGGGCCAACAGGGGGGGGCGGACCTCGCGGTAGCGTGAGACAGGTGGGAGGAGGCGACAACGATCCGTCATTGGATGATCACTTCACGCGGTCACCGTCCGATACGTAGTGCAGCGCATTGGGGAGGAGGCCGAAATGGAAGTAGAGCCTGCCCCGCGCTGCAATTATAATATGAACGCATGCATCCTACGCATGCTCACCTGCTATCTTTTGCGTCTACTGCGTTCTGTAGTATCTCCTCCATTGCGCCTGGTGGCGCCGCGCCCAGTGCCCTGCGCCCGCCGATCTCCTCGAGAGCCTTCTGGAGCAGGCCACGGACTGTCAAGGGCGAAGGCAGCTGCTGCTCGTCTGATTCGGGCGGTACGCTCGGCTGTGCCACATCCCTCATCATCAGGTGGAGCTTCCTCTTGTTCTGGTCGTAGCACTTCGTGACTCGGAACAGCCGCACCATGTCGTAGAGGTCGTGAGGCTGCAGCTCGCACCACACTCTGGCGTGCCAATCTTTGAGCATCGCGTGTGTCCTCTGCCCCAGCGCGGGCCCACGCTCTAGCAACTTGGTCACGAACCCATTGAATATATGAAGGTGAGGAGGACCGAGCTGGTGGCCTTTGCCTCGGGCTCGGACTTCGTGTGAATATGTCGCCCCTGCCTCCTGCACGGCCTCGATCTCCGGCAGGTCGGCGGTCAGGAAGTACGTGTCCACTCCTGCGGCCCACAGCTCGCGCACCAACTGGGTCGTCATGAGCGTCTGCTTCACCATCACGTTGATGAAGTTGGCCTGCTTCTTGGTGAACCCCATGTCCTTGATCTGCCCGAGGTGCCGATTGCGCTGCTGCTTGCTGTTGGGCCGCTGGCTGCGGCCGCGTCGGAGGCGGAGCCTGGGGTGGGAGCGGAGCTCTTGCCGCCCTTGTCCTTCTGCGGGGGGCCGCCGCCCTTGGCCTTGGCCAGCACGGGTGCGCCCTCTGCCTCTGCCCCAGGCGGCCGCTTCTCCAGCATCCACTTGGGCTTGGGGGTCGCCATCGCCAGTCCGTCTCTCAGGTATGAAAGGCAAGTGCCGCTCGCAAATGATCCTGGAGCTGAGCCAAATCGAAATGCGAAGACGTGGCGCACACAGGACACACAAGCCTGGGGACGACCACTGGATGTAGTGCATGCGCGCTGAGAACATCGCAAACTCCCCGCCGAAACGCCCGACAGAGGTGAGCCTTCGCGGTCTTCTGGAAAGCAAAGGAAGTGCGACACGCTGGACACTGGTTGGTGGCGACACATCTGGCATAGTAGGAGAAGTTGCCATGAGAGCCGCCCTGGGTGTGGGTCTGGTGCGCGACAAGGGCAGCATGGGTGAAGAAGCGGGCTCCACACACGTCTCCATCATCTGTAGTGCATCTGCATACGTGCACGCAGCCAGAGGGACCCAAGAATTCCTCAATTCCATCCTGCGAGGCGGAGAGGCAGGGTCCGAAATCGATAATGTCCAGCTCAGTCTTACCGCTCTGCCAGATCTTGCGCAGAACAGAAACATCAGCCGCCAGAAACTGATGCGATATGTCGTCGTCATGGAAGAGCGCATGGATGTCCTCGCCCCAGACGGAGCGCCAGTCTTCATAGTCTGTTAGAAGCTCGAGCCTGTAAACGTCAGTCACAAAACGAACGGCGAACGGGTTGGCGTGAACGGTGAGGCGGCCCTCGGACAGGGTGGGGGCATTCCCGAAGCCGACGCGACCGAAGAGGAGGCTGATGACCTGGGAATGTTCTTCTGGCCATCTAACCATGGCCTGGTACCATCGAAGTCTCTGAGCTAACAACTCGACCCCAGACGGGGCAATATTCATCCATTTCCAGACCTCCCGAGAGTCCTTACTAATGGGATGATCTCCAGAACGGTCACACAGAGCCCCCGCAGCAATACAACGGATCTTACCCAAGAGCGCGATGTCGAGCTGGGCCTCTTGGGAGCTCGTGAGGAGATACGGCGTAAGTCCAGACAACAGCGCACCTTGCACCACCGATATGAATACTAGCCTCTTCACATTAAAAGGGGCCCCCGAGGTCCACAAATACTTAAAAGACATCCACCCCCTGTTGGCCGCTACTTTACTCAGTGCAAGCTGATGCGAGAAGGCGCCAGAGGGCAGAAACTGAGGTCCCAAGTACCTGGTGTGTGGGGCCACGCGGGCCCCCCCCGACCTCTGCAGCGTAAAACTGACGGGTGGCCTTGTAGCCGCAGAGGCGGGGGACCAAAACTTGTTTCGACGTGTTTTGCTTGTGTCCGTACGCAGCCAGGGCATTGCCGAGCTTGGCCTGGGCTTCGCGCGCTGTGGCGACAGCCTCGGAAAGTGCCCCCTCCTGGAGTAGCAAAAAGTACGCCAGATCGTCCACGTATTTGAACAGGCCCGCATAGACCTCGCGCCCGAACACGGGGCACGACACGCACAAAGCAGGGTCCTGAAACTGGGCGAGCCACTCCTGGAGGGGGCGGGCAAAATCAACTCGAAATTCGTCGGGCGCACTGGGGTCCCCCATCAAAGCCCCGCTTTGGAGGTGAAGGGTGGTGGGGCGATCAACGCCCTCGAGGTGAAGTCGGTGCGTGGTGCGCCTGTCGCTGAGCAGGGCGACGTCCCCTGCTGGCAAATACTCTAAAAGTCCTTGAGTCATGCGCTTGTGCTCGCAACAACCGAAAGCATTCTTCATGTCATCGAAAACAACAATGTGCCACACGCGTGCGCTCCGCAGGCGATCCGCCAAGATCTGCGTGCCCAAAATGGCATTCTCTCGCCTGCGTCGCGGTGTGCATCCGTGGTCGTACTCCGCAGGCGCAGCGTGTGGGACCGTCCTATAAATGCCCCTGGCGATGGCTCGGAAGAAGGGGCAGAGGCCGTGCAAGAACCGAGTGCCGCCGTCAGGTTTGGGAGTCTGCCAACCGAGAGAAAAACCCGCACACGTAGGAAACCTCCCCACAACCCGCCAGCACGTGGCCAGACTTCCCAAACCAATCTTGATGGCCTCCACTTCAGGGGGCTCAGGCTTTCCGCCGACTCCGAAGGGAGAAATACGTGGCTTGCTAAAATACTTAGGCAGGAGAAGCATGAGCCACATCTCGCCAGGGAGGGACCAGGCAGGGACGGAACGTCTGCGCGAAGCCTTGCGGAGCACCCACGAAGCTCTACGAAGGTCTCTGGCTCCCAACTCCCCCGCCGAGTCCCGCTTACCCATCCCTTGAGGGGCCGAAGAGGCCCGCGTCAGCAAAACAATGTCTAACTGGACTGGGGCCGCGGAGAGACCACCCTCGGAACCAGGAAGGCCCAGAGAGGCCGCGAGCTCATCAGCCGATGCAACGTGCCTGCGCACCGCCGCGTAGCTCCTTCGTTTGGGTCCCAGTCCCGTGCCCGCCAGTCTACGAGAGAAATATTGCACGCTGGCGAGATCACGCTTGCGCCAGGCATCATGAATGCCTTCAGTCCAAGTCCTGCGCAGTGATCGCGCCCATCTACGGACCTCCCACTTGATGCGATTCGTGAAGTCGCGGATCTGAAAATCGTAGTGGCAGTGGGGGAGGCCCATGGCGCGCAGCACCGCCCGTCCACGGAGGAGGCGTCGTACCTGGAGTCGGTGCTGCGCCAGCTCCGCGCCTGGGGTTCGCCTGGCCCTGCCGAAGTGCTTCTTAGCAATCGGTGCCAGCGCGTCCAGGAACGAAGCGTAGCCTGCGTCGATCATGTTGCTCTCGAAGTACCCCAGGTGCGATGGCGCCGCGCGCTGCAGGGCCAGGTTTGCCTCTTCCAGGAATCCCTCCCGCAGGCCTGGCGTCTGCAGCGCGGTCTCGATAGCGTCGAAGTTCCAAGGAGCACGGGAGAGTGGTCACGCAAAATTCCCTTGGAGGGGTAGAGCTGGAGCTGCCTGGCCGCCTTGGTCATGGTGATCAGCTTTGACACGCGCGGCGGGGCTCCAGCTGGCAGGGCGTAGTGGTCAATCCAGGTCGACGACTTCTCGCCATTGTAAGTGGGAGCAATCTTGAAAAAGGTGGTTGCGCAAGCGAAATGGTGTCGGTGCAGCACTTCACGGAACCCTCGAGCGGCGTAGCCCATGCGAGACTGCACGTAGGGCCCGATGCAACTGAAGGAGCAACTGGTCTCGTCAGCCGCGAACGAGTCATTCAGGTCCGTGAAGATGATGGGGGTGGAGCGCTCGGGGGTGGTGTCCAGCAGACCGTTCAACCACTCGAGTAGCACATCAACCGTGCGCCTCCATGTGGCCGTCCCCGAGCGCGGGCCAGGCGGCGGGAAGTAGATCGCAATGGCCGTGACATCGAGCGAACCAGTGACCACTCGCACCATCCCCGCACGGCCCAGCGCGGCGGCAGGTCCAGGGAGCACGCGGTGCACGCGTAGTCCGAGATCTCGGCGTCGTACTCCGATGGTGACTCCTGCCGCACGGTTGGTGAAGGGCCCCCTGCCGTACCCGAAGTGGTAGTAGTCGTGGTCCCCGATGTGCGTCTGACGACGCACCGCCTCGGACGGCACCGCCCGCAGGCGGGTGCCCAGCAGGAAGTGGAACGGGAAGCCCCTAGCCAGCAACGCGATCTCGTCCAGCCTCCTGTGCTGAATCAGGCTGCACACATTGAATCCAAAAAACTTACAGCGCATGAAAGTACCCTGGGATGTTCGATAGGGCGGTGCAGGGCCCCTCCTGAACTAGAAAGTGTCGCTGAGATGTTCAAGGCGGGGACCCCCTGCATGGGCCCACTGAATCGCGGCTCGACACAGAAAGGGGCTGGAGGAGGAGGAGGAGGAGGAGGAGGAGGAGGAGGAGGAGGAGGAGGAGGAGGAAGAGGAGGAGGAGGAGGAGAAAGAGGAGGAGGAGGAGGAGGCGCATCGGCTGCCGTGCTGGCGCTCGGGCCCTCGTCGGGGGCCGCACGGCAGCACCCGCCGCCGGCGACGGCGGAACAAAAAGAAGAAACCGGCGCCCGTCGGTGCCCCTCGGCGCGCCTCGTTCTCGAGGCTGATGAGCGCCTCCAGGAACTGCCGCCCGTCGTCGTCCAGCCTGGCGTGGGGGGGGGGGGCGAGCCCAGAATCGACTCGCCGAGTCGGGTCGGCGAGCGGAACGAATCGGAGCGGCGGAGATCGGCAGCCAGATCGGGAAGCAACGAATCGGCTGAACTCGGCAGGCTAGCAGGCCACCGTTGAGACATCGGAGCCCAGATCGGAATGCGACATCGAATCGAATCGGCATCGGGAACCATCGAAATCGAATCGAACCGGAGGAACCGAAACGAGTCTTTGGGGGGGTCAGGAGAGCGGCGCGGAGCTGGTGTGGTGCGGGCACCCTGCACGCAGTTGTCGTAAGTCGGGCCTGTCCCCCTACAGGGGGATTTTCGACGAAAACTTAAAAATAGTCAGAAAATACTCCAGAATGGTTGAAAAATATTTGAAAAAAAAATTGCCCAGAGTATTTTTTGACCAGTTTTGAATTTTCCCCCTGTAGAGGGACAAGCCCG